GGGGGGGCAGAGCCGAGCGGTGCCCGAGGGGCCTGCGCGGGGCGGGGCTAGCTGGGCGGGGCTTAGTCACGGGACGGTGCTTGCACCGGTGGGGGCTGAGCTTCGTGCGCACGGCGGGGCTCCCGGGCTGGGCTGGCGTGTCCTGCGCGCTGTTTTACGGGACAAGGGCTGTGCAGCGCGGTCCGGGACTCGGGACCCCGTGCACACTTGGGGGTCTCTTTGAGCCTTACCCCCTGCCTCTGTCCCCGCTGAGTCCGGGGTTCCCCCGCTTCGCGCAGACGCTGACTGGGCGCAGGCCGCGCCGGCCACTGCTCTGGCCTCAGACTGCTCTGACCCCCTCGCTGATCGCTGCGGCCTCCCCCCTCGCACCCAGCTTCCTATTGTCAACTGAAACAAGTCAAAATACGAAAGTGAATAAAGTACGGTAACCGGTGCAACCGCCACTCGTTCATGCATTCCACAATGTTTACCCAGCACCTGTTCTTTGCCTCGCGTGGTCCCGGGCCTTGGGCACACCTTGATCAAGAGACAAGGTCTCTGATCTCCTGGAGCTTGTGAGAGCTCACGGGATGGACAAATAAACAAACGAAACATGCAATCCCCAGGTCGTGCCAAGTGCCTGTGACCTGGAAGAAGAGAGAGGTGGAGCGTGCCCGGAAAAAGGGTACCAGGCAGAGGGGGCAGCCTCTGCGGAAGCCCCATAGTGGACACAGAGCAGCTGTGCTCAGGACTTTGCTAGAGGCCAGGGTGCCCGCAGCGAGGCGCACGAGGGCGGCAGGTGGGTTTGCAGGCTGTGCTAATGCACTTCAAGTATGGCTGCAGCCAGGCCTGCCTCGTCGCCTTTTTCCTCCTATTTGACAGCCCTCACGCGACATGCCCCTTCCCATGAGGCTCCTGCCTCAGGACCTCTGCATTCGCTGTTGTCTCTGCCCGGCACCCCCTTTCCCCAGAGTTACTCACTCCCTTCAGGTCTTTACTCAAAAGTCACCTTCTCGGTGAGGCCTTCCCTATTGTTTTATATCCAATTTCAGCACCCTGCCCAATATCTCATGTCCTCTCTCCTCTTTTATCTGTTTGTTTTCCAGCTTGTCACTATATAGAGTACATTCTGATTTACGTGTTGTGACAGCAGCCTCTAAGATGGCCCCCAACCATGTGCCTCCTGCGTCTGCACCTTTGTGTAGCCCTCCCATGAGTGTGGGCTGGATTGAGTAACTGGCTTCTAGCCAATAGAATGTGGCAGAAGTGATGGGCTGTCACTTCTTTCTTTCTCTGGAATTACTCACCATGACATGAGGAGTCCTGTGGCAAAGGACCAAGGCCTCGCCAACAACCAGTGAGGGAGCTGAGACACAGACCCCTTCCCAGCTGAGCCTTCTGATGAGAACACAGCCCCAGCCAGTGGCTCGACTGCAGCCTCACGAGAGATTTTGTGCCAGAGGGTCCAGAGCACCCAGGACCAGATTCTTGACCCTCAGAAACTGGGAGACAATACATGCTGTTGTTTTAAGCCACTGAGTTTTGGGGTAATCTGGTCTTCAGCAGTAAGTGACTAATATAGTTATTTATCCTGTTTATTGCCAATTTTCCCCATGAGGTCCACAAGGGCAGGACATTCTGTCTGTTTTATTTGCCACTGTATCCTCAGTGTCTAAACAGTGGCTGGCACATAGAGATATTCAATAAATATGTAAGTGAATGAATGCAGAGTGGGGAGCCTTTGGAGGGTTTAAGCGGGGGTGGGGTGGGGAGTGGCACTTCTGATTTATGTGTATAAAGCCCATGTTGAATGCCATGAGGTGAGGGGATGAAGGGCTGTGGGAGTGGAGGTGAGGGGGGCAGGGAGACTAGTAGAGGGCTGCTGAGTTCCTCAGGACAGAGCTGATGAAGGCTGGGCCAGGGGCTCAGAGTGGAGCTGGAGAGAGGTGCAGGGGAGGAGGGGAGGGATCATGGTGACCCCTGCGTTTAGGAAGAGTAGAAATGCCCTTCCCAGGACTTCCCCGGTGGTCCAGTGGTAAAGAATCCGCCTTCCAATGCAGGGGACGCGGGTTCGATCCCTGGTTGGGGAACTAAGATCCCACATGCTGAGGGTCAGCTAAGCCCACGTGCCACAACTAGAGAGGGAAAACCCGTACGCCACAGCTAGAGAGAATCCCATGCGCTGCAAAGAAAGATCCGCGTGCTGCGACTAAGACCTGACGCAGCCAAAAAAAAAAAAGAAGTGCCCTTTCCAAGATGATTGGGCTCAGGCAGGATTGGAGTGGACATGGGCGCCTCTCCTTTGTCTTATGAGTTCTTGATATGGCTGTATGTCTGATGGAGATGAATGAAAGCTGCTGTGTACACATGATTCTAGTCTAGAGGATCAGGCCCAGAGATGTGAGTGTGGAGTCACCAGCCCCTAGGACAGCCTTAAACATTAGTCCCTCCAGGCACAGTGCTCAGGCTCTAGGAAGTTGTCTCTAGGTAGAATGTGGTAGGCTGAATAATGACCTCTAAAGATATCAGGCCCTTAATCCCTGGACTTGTGAGTGTTATCTTGTATGTGTTGACCTAAAACGATAAAAGAGCCAGTTATTTTGCCAGCAAAGTGGGTTTATTTGGGAACACCAAAGAATCACAATTCAGTGCACGAAATCTATGGGAAACCACAGGCAAATCTGAAGAACAAAAGACAGGAAACTCTTTTATAGAGGAGAAGGGGGAATGGGTGGGGTGTTCTAAACAGAAGAGTCCGTTGGAGGAAACTGGGAGTTGGAAGTGTGGTGGCTTTTCATTGGCTGAACTGTGCTGGTCTCTCATTGGCTGGACTGTTGCTGGGTGGGAAAAAAAATCTTCCTTCCTCCTGCTGGGTAGTAACTAGTAACCTTCCTGTTAGTCTGCAATTGAGGCTGCACAGTAGGGGGTGAGGTCGCCCCCTTGTGGCCTCCTGACTATTTTAAATAAGGTTTCTGTTTATTAATCTTTACATGCTTTCTCTAAAAGCATTGCTGATCAACGGTCAGGTTTTTTACAGATTCAGCAACTTTTGTCCCTTGTTGCCAGGGAGGACCTTTCCTGAGTGTCCTGTCCCATGTGGAAGGGAGAGTGCACAGATTGGAAACCTACTGAGGTCACATTCACGTAACAAGGAGGGGTAGGAGGGAGATCTCTCAGGAATTTCCCATCTAAAGTTTGTGTCTTAGAATAGTGAATACAGCAAGGGAACAGTCAACACAGAAAGAATTAAGCAAGCACTTTGGGAAGACGCAGCTGATGAAAGAAATTTTCACATATTAAGGTATATGGGGAAGTTATGCTGGATTATACATACTTTGGCTTGAACTTTATGCTAATTAGAACAGTCTGTCTTATGGTCCGTCAAACGTAAGCTGTATATCTGCTTTAACCATTAAAAAATAAGGAGGAAGAGGAGAAAAATGCATTACCTGATTGTTTAGAATGTCCACTTTGAATACAGGGGTAAATGCTGCGTGCTGCCCCCTCCCCAGCAACACCAATGCCAGTATTCCTTCGAAGATGAGATTCCCTTCCCAGACGCCAAGGTCATGCTGACCTGCTGTGTACCTGCTAATCTGTTTTGAAAACTTGAAGAAATGTACCCTTGTCATGTTTGATGTTTGTTGTTCTGACAAGATATTAAACTGTGGTTCAGGGCATCCAAATTGGAGCCGGGTGGCCATTGCGGATGTGGTTTCAGACAGTTCCTGCATCACTGGGAACTTGAATTTTCTAAACTGTATCAGACTGAAGGTCATGACCAACTGTTCTCAAAATAGTATCTGCTAGTTGCTGCCACCAGCAACCTTATAATCTCAAGATCTCTCCTGGTAACTACGCATTTTGGAGCCCAACCAATTCTTGCTTTATAAGCACCTTCCTTATTGCCAGCTCCAATCCTAATTCTTGACAATTTATGTAACTTTGCAGTTTTTGCTTGTATAGGCCTCCCCCATTTTGTAGCCTGGGGAACACAAGTCAAGCGCTTCTTGAATCTGGGTCTCCTGCTCTGCAGTCCTCAGTTTAGCTCAATCAAAACTTGTCTTTTCCTCTCGTCAATGTAAATAATCAGTAACCAACCTCAACTGATTAAGAGGGAGGGTTGGAAAGAGAGAAAAGACACAGTTTAAGGAAAAAAAAAAAAAAAAAGAGGGAGGTTTGGGCAGAGCCCCCGTGGTTCCTCGGAGCCCGTCTCTGGGGGTCAGGAGGGCGTTGGAAAGGCTGGTCCGAGGGCTGAAGGCACCCGAAGCACCGAGGTTTGGGACAGTCTTTTTTCCAGTGACCCGGCTCTTTGCAGTCATAGTGGTGGGGTCAGAAGAAGGCCGATCGGGGGGCCTTTGTTGGCCACCTAAGGACTTTGGCCTTTACTCTCAGTGAGATGGGACCCACTGGAGCAGTTGTGAGCAGAGGAGGGTGCCAGCTGACAGATGTTACACACGCAGCCCTGGGCTCCTGGGTGGAGAACTGGCTGAAGTCTGCCCCCGTGTGGCCGGAGCAGGGCATGCAGGACTGGGCTGATCCGCAGCTGCCAGGGGCATGACCCTTCCTGGGTCCAGAGGGACCCTGGGGGGCTGCCCCGCGATGGGCCGTGAAGGGAGAACTGCGTCTCCTCACTCCAGATCCTTCCCAGGGGACATGGGAGGGATGAGTTAGTGGGGAAGGAAGGGACCGAGAGCCAGCTGGAGAGTCTTCCCCCGACCCCGCCCCACCTTAAATCCCTGCTCTTGGGCAATTTCCACCACGTCTTCTGTTCCACGTGGAAGCTGAATGACAACCGATAGATCAGTTGATCAATAGATCAGCTGGGAATTCCCTGGCGGTCCAGTGCTTAGGACTCAGCACTTGCACTGCCGG